TTGTATGTTGCCTGAGAAACGCTTTTTGTCCTGCCAAGGTATCAGCATGAAAGGCTGTCAGGTCAAAAACCGAAGTTGTGTTTGGTTCAACAACCGAGATACTTTTCCCATGAGCAACTTGGTGGAGAACTGAATTGTTCTAAATTGGGAGATGTTTGAGAACCGAGGTTTGACTGTATAGGGAATTGGTTAGGCTTAGAAGATTAAAAAAGCAAAAGAGACATTGAGGGAGGGGAAACAAAGGGAAGAGGTTGGGGTTATCAGAACCTCGTAGTTCAGAGAAGGGGCTTCACAGAGCTGGTACCAGTACTTCTGAGGGGGTGCAATGAAGCTGGTTGTGTCTATGAGTGTCAAAAAGAAAAGCTGGAGACTGGAACCAACTGCTAGGGCAGTGCTGGTGCAAATAGAAAGCAAAGGAGGAGAGAGTCCCTACTTCCTTCCTTCCTTCCTCCTTCCTTCCAGCCTTTTCAGGTACCTACTACTGGTGCTGGAACCAAATGGGAAGCCAGCTAAGGAAGGAACAATGTAGTTTGTAGAGTTCCAGGCTGGAATCACAAAGGGTGAGTGTGGAGGTCAAAGACAGTAGTTTAAAAAGTGACACACAATACTTTGAATGAAACAGATGTTCAAAGAACTGGTTCTAGGTTCAGTTAATACAAAATTTTTTATTTTATTTTAATGGCAGTCATAGCTAGAAAGAATACCTCTGAGAGGCATGGTGTAGAGCAAGGTGAGCAAATTTTCTGTAAGGGTCAGATTTTATTTTATTTTTTTATTTTTTATCCTCACCCGAGGACATTCTTCCATTTTTTGTTCAGGTAGAGTGGGAGGGAGAGAGAGGAACAGAGAGAGAGAGAGAAACATCGATGTGAAGGGACACATCGAGTGGCTGCCACCCGCACGACCAACCAGGGCCGGGGACAAACTGCAACCGAGGTACATGCCCTTAGCGGGAACCGAACCCGGGTCTCTCTGTACCGCAGGCCGACACTCTAACCGCTGAGCCAAACCGGCCAGGGCTGTAAGGGTCAGATTTTAAATATGTGATGCTTTGCAGGCCTGTAAGGTCTCTGTCTCCAATACTTAGCTTTGCCTTTGTAGCACATACACAGCCTTAGACAATGTGAAAACAGATAAAGAATAAAACTATTTATAGAAACAGGCAGTGGGCTGGATTTGGCCCCAGGGCTATAGTCTGTAGACTCCTGATGTAGTGCATTTACACTTAGGGTGAAGTTAATCAGTGATAGTCCCTATGGATTCATATTTGGAATAACCTTGATACTTTTTAATTTGGGAGTTCATCTCCCTAAATCTGATTAGATTAATTTTTAAAAGCCTCATGTTGGCCTATAAGAGTACTAGGGGATGCCCTGGCTGGTTTGGCTCAGCAGATAGAGAGAGCATCGGCTCGTGGACCTGAAAAGTCTTGGGTTCAATTCCGGTCAAGGGCACATACCTGGGTTGCAGGTTCAATTCCCAGCCCCAGTTGGAGTTGTGCAGGAGGCAACCAATTGATGTGTCTCTCTCATATCAGTGTCTCTCTCTCTCTCTCCCTCCCTCCCTACCACTTTCTCTAAAAAAAAGTCAGTGGAAAAATATCCTCAGGTAAGGATTTATAAAAAAAAGAAAAGAAAAAAAAAATGCTAGGGAAAGTGTTAGATCTGCCATTCTTTTGTTCACTTAAGATTGCATTATTAGTATTATCTTTAATAAATTTCTTTATAGGAGTGTTTTAGTAAAAAACTTGTATAGTTGTACAACAGTATGAATGTACTTAATGCCACTGAATTGTACACTGCTTAAAAATGGTTAAAATGATATATCCTAAGAAGCCTGAAACACCAATCAGAAAGAATATATGAACCCTTCTGTTCACAGCAGCACTATTTTCAATAGCTAAGATTTGGAAACAGCCCAAGTGCCCATTAGTTGATGAGTGGATTAAAAAAAAACTGTGGTACATTTACATAATGGAGTACTATGCAGCTGTAAGAAAGAAAGATCTCTTACCCTTTGAGACGGCATGAAGGGACCTGGAGAGTATTATGCTAAGCAAAATAAGCCAGTCAGAGAATGACAAATATCACATAATCTCTTATTTTTGGAAAATAATGAACAAAATAAGCTAATGATCAGAGTAGATCCAGAGACATGGAAGTAGGGAACAGACTGACAAACATCAGAGGGAGGGGGATGGTGGGGGCAGGAAGAGATAAACCAAAGAACTTACATGCATGTATGCATAACCAATGGACACAGACAACGGTGCACTGTGTGGGGTGTCATTGGGGAGAAAAAGTAGGGACATCTGTAATACTTTCAACAATAAAGATTTTTTTTTGAAAGAATGGTTAAAATGGTAAATTTTATGTTACATATATTTTACCACACACAAAAAAATGATGTAACTTTACTTGAGTCTAACACTTCTTGTTATGGAGCATCACTCTTTGTTTAGATGTTTCAAATACTAGCATGAAGCCTCACAAGAGTGCCAGTCACCATCCCCACATTAAATTCATAACTCTTGATTTCTTACTGATTTTAGTTAAAAGAATATAAATAGAATATGTAATATTATCTCCCTACTCCCAGTGGATTATCATGTGCACGCCTGGTTATGCACACACCTACTGGAGGAGAGACCACTGGGCTAGAGACCAGTTTCCTAATAGAATGGTTTGATTTACTATTGAGGCAGTATATTGATAATTTTGCAACTGGACTGTTTCTCTAATTCTTCCCTGCCAGCATACATTGCTAGTGATGTTAACCTGACTTTGTATTTTCATGCCTACTCTGACATTCCTAATCCAGCTCTGCATTTTAATCTATATTTCTATGGCACTTTATTTAAGCTTCTATTATAACTCTCATCACATCGCATTTTAGTTATTTGCTTATATATCTCTCTCCCCCCCTTTTTGAGTAGCATGTCTTAGTTATATGCTGTATTCCCAGCACCCAGCTGTGGCACACAGCATGCTCTCACTAAATACTTTTTATTATTAGAATTAGTACTTAACCCAGACATTGACAAGCTTCTGAGCTATTTATGGTGGCTCAGCCAGTTCTTCCTTCCCTTCATATTTTGGTCAGCTCCAGGTTTTTTTTCAGAGGCCTAAATCTCATTTTTACTGCCAGCCATAGCCCTTTTTCATATCACTTTTTGGCACTAGGAAGATTAGGATACAAGCTACATTTGTATAGTGCACATCTTTCAGAATAATTATTGTAATTAATTTTACTGGTGTTGATTAATTCATTAAATATGTATTGATGGTGTGCTACGTACTAGAAACCCTGCTGGGGATACACGGTGAGCATTTTACATACAAAAGAACTGAGAATTTGGATGACATGTATAAGATTATATATGAAGTTACTAACAGAACTGTGACTAGATCCTGGGTCTCCTGACTCATAGCCCATTGGGTAGAAGAGAGTTGCTGTGAGAAGAGTTAGAGCAGGATGGTTGGGATGATACATGTAAGAGGGTTTGCTTGTGATCATTCTAACCTCTACTTGAGTATTTTCAGTAATTGAGGAGCCCAGTCTCTCCAAGAAAGTACCTTACATTTATTTAGACCATGTTGGAGGTTCAGTTTGGCATACCAGTCACCAGGTCCACTCTTTCAACAAACTTAGTTCAGGATTCTCTGGGAATGGATGTTTTGGAGAATTCTTTGGGGTCTTAGGCCTTTGCTGCTAGGGGAATAGTTGACTGGTGTGTGGCAGCCAAATAGTCTCAGAGACTGCCCTGTTGCTGATGTGTATTTTGGTGTGGCCTCTACAGGATCAGGTCAATATGGTCCTTGTCATTATTTGATGGTTCAGAAATTGTTTACCCAGAAGTGATAAAATTCTGAGAAAAGAGATCACATTAACCAAAAGATCTAAGGACAAGTTTATAAGTCAAAATACCAATTTATGGTGGGAGATGTATATCTGGCTCAGAATCTGGAATCTGAACCAGGGATTCCCTCCTGCTGGCGTCTAGACTGGCACCAAATTAAAAATCAGAAGGTTGCCTGCTTGGAAAGCATAGAATTAAGAGCCAGTTGAATAGTATCTTCTTATGAGCTTTAGGTTATGAGGACTTGGTCTTTCACATTGGAGTATCTCTCTCTTAACTGCCTGGGTGTTTCAGGATCAAAACACCCAGGTCTGTGGGAAAAGACTACTGTATTTTTGCCCTTCCACTTTTTTTTTTTAAACATGTAAATGGAAATTTTATTTTTAAACGCCCTTCCACTTTTTGACATTCAGCTGTCAAAACAGCCTCTGCCAGCCCTGACTGGTGTGGCTCAGTTGGTTGGAGCATGGTCCCATATACCGAAAGATTGCAGGTTCGATTCTCTGTCAGGGCACATACCCATGTTGTGGGTTTGATCCCTGGTGGGGGCGCGTTCAGGAGGCAACTGATCGATGTTTCTCTCTCACATCGATTCTCTCTCTTCCTCTCTCTAAAACCAATTTAAAAAAATTTTTTTAAGCCTCTTTCATTACCAGTTTCCTTATGAAGGGCAGAACTGGTTAAGATTTCCAGGAAAACTGCTTATTTTATTTTATTATTATTATTTTGTAATCCTTACCCAAAGATATATTTTTAATTGATTCTAGAGGGAGAGGGAGAGAGAGAGAAATGTCGTTTGGCTGCCTTCTGTACATACCCCAATTGGGGATCAAACTTGCAACCTGGGCATATGCCCTGACCAGGAATCGAACCCAAGACCCTTCGGTGCTTGGGATGACCCTCTAACCAACTGAGCCACACAAGCCAGAGCAGTACTTCTTATTTTATATTCACTGTTACTTAGGCAATATATGAAATCTGTTATGAACTTTGTGGTAATTTATGCTACTTAATATGATTCAAAAGAGTTTACCACCTTCACTTTGATTCCTGTAACACTCCATAAAGGACTGATGCATTTTGTACTTCCACTGAGCACTTTCTGTGGGCACACTGACTGGAGTCCCTATTTTTCCTCCAGGGTCATCTAGTAGCAGGCACCCAAATCAGGCAACTCCAAAGAAAAGTGGTTTAAAGAATGGCCAAATGAAGAATAAAGATGATGAGTGCTTCGGGGATGATATTGAAGAGATCCCAGATACCGATTTTGATTTTGAAGGGAACCTAGCCCTGTTTGACAAGGCAGCTGTGTTTGAGGAGATTGATACCTATGAGAGAAGAAGTGGTACCCGTTCCCGCGGCATCCCAAATGAAAGACCTACTCGGTATCGCCACGATGAGAACATCTTGGAGCCAGAGCCTATAGTCTACCGACGGATCACAGTGCCCCACAATGTGAGCAAAGAGTTTTGCACAGGTGAGTTGCACCAGGTTCCACATCCCCCTGCTGCTCTTCTCTTCCTATTATGCTTGAAATAGAATGACCCAGATTCTGAGTCAGAGTCTTGTAGCAGGAATTAACTAAAGTGACTTGGTGGTTAGCCCATTGTTATTGTCTCTTGGAGATTATGGCCAGGACAACATAATTACCTATCATTGTGGGGGATTTGATTTCTCTATATGTTCATTTATATCCTGCATCTGGCAGGATCTAGTCTGAGGTTTATTTAATATGTTATGATTGATAACTAAAGGGATAGTGGCCAACTGTCTAGATTCACATAATCAGATCTATTTTCACTTTAGCTTTCCTGTCATTGCCTGTACATTTTAGCAGAAGTTCAGCTCTTTTTTACTAGTTATTTGCTGGGGTAAAAAACAGTTGGAGATGGATAGTTGAAACCACTGGCTAAAATTAGGGTTTCAATAAATTACATTTGTTTACCACACTATCTTCATCTCCTACTAGCCCTGGTCATTGAGGGTTGGCTAGTCATTATTCTCACATAACAAAACAATGCCTTGGTAATTATGTAAGTCACTGTATATGATAGTCAAGTCTGTTTAAGTTTCTTATTTTGGCATTAGAATCTTCGAACTATGACATTTGAGGCAGATAAAAGCAGCTGTGGGAGAGGTGGTCTACCTCATCACTGTCCTTTCCTCCCAAACCACATTCTTTTTTAATCCTCACCCGAGGATATTTTTCTGTTCATCTTCAGATAGTGGGGGGGCGGGGGGCGGGGGGGACATCGACATGAGCGAGACACATTGACTGGTTGCCTCCCACACGACCCTGACCAGGGCATGGGACATAACTGGACCGAAATGCAACCGAGGTCCGTGCCCTTGACCAGAATCGAACCCTCAACTCTTTGGTCCGAGGGCCGACGTTCAAACCTCTGAGCCAAACCGGCCAGGGCAAACCACCTTCTTAATTGGGTTTCTTGGAATACAGTTTGAAAATCATTGTCATTGAATGATCTTCAGCTAAAAGGGGAATCATAATTATTTTAATAGGTAGAAAAGTAACCAAGTATAATGTTCATTTTGGTTTGAATGTAAAAAATATAAATTTTGAATGCTAGTATTGCTTATAGGGAGAATTATGGAGATAGCATAACTACATTTAGAGGAGAATCAGATCTGGTATGGCTTTTTACAGACAGCAGTAGGGCTCTATTGTATTTGGTTTTGCTGAGTATAGAAGTTTGCACGTGCTTTTCATGTGAAGAAAATAAGCAGACTGTCAAGCTAAGAAAGACTCCTAAACTGTTTTTCTCTTTCACTAGCAGACTCTGGCAGGCATACCTCTTTACTAAGGTAGTTTCCTTAAGTGGCACTGAGTGTATCTTGCTGAACTACTTTGATTTTTACCACCTACATAAAGGCAAACAGTATAGCTCAGAACCAGGCTTAATTTAAATGGCCAGGTTTTAAGTCTTTTAAAGGCAGCTCTCATCCAGCAGGTCTGGTAGTACCTCAGTTCCTGCCACCCATCTACCTCTGACTGCTCCCTTTTACTGCTCTCAGGACTGAGGTGGTTGGTCATTCAGTATGTGATTTCCCTGGAATTCCTGGGCTTGGAGAGAGAGAGATAATAGTCTGCCTTGGAGTGAAGTGGCTGACAGGGAGAGAGTAACAGTAAGAATTAGTAAGGAGTCTCAATAATGCTAAGGAGTGGAAATGAAGCCCTTTTGACAAGCAGAGCCTTCCAGAAATGGAGCCAGCAAGCAGTTATCTTGCTGAGCAGCTTCTCCTACAGGTGATTTTTATCTCAGCTGCAGCTCCAAGGCATAAGCCTCAAAGAAGGTTTTACTGAGTGTTATTTGGATAGTGCATAGATGGGGACTCTTTTCCAACTGGATCTACTATCCAGAAATTAGGATCAGAATAAGGCAAACTATCTGGAATATGTGGGGAAACAACCTAGGTTCATAAAATGTTAGTATTAGGTTACTTGATCACCTAGTATAATTTTCTCATTTTACAGATGAGGACATTGAGGCCCAGAGAGTAAAGGCTCTTAAAAACTTTATCCTATTTTTCTTTCCTCTTCTGAACACGGTTAAGTTAAAGAGGAAGAAGAACATAGTGTGAGAAGGGCAGTTTAATGACAAAATAACTACAGCCTTTTCTCTCTTAGGAAATGGGCCAACTTAGATTAGTAGTTATGGAAAGTGACTTGGATAGCTTCTCAATCCAGCCATATGGCATTCATCTCCTAAAACCTCAAATATCTTGTTTTCTACTAATCCCCAGAGAAGCAAAAGAACAAGATGTTTACTACCCACTTGGTGATGGCTGGAGTTTTATGTTCTGAGAGCTTGCTGCTGGCATTCCATACACTGACTGCATGCTAAATGGTATTAACAGTTTCTAAGCCATTACTAATTGCTCATACTCCTCTTGGTAATACTCTTTGCCAACTGTGGGGTCTGAGGGGACAGTGGTGTAAAAAGTCTGTTGATTGGGAAAACACATTCAGGAAGCAACTAAATTTAGCTTTTTGTTTAACACAAGTCTTTTCTCTCTGGGAAGCCCTTTTGAGTCCTTTGACAGTGCCACTGTCTCCAACAGTCAGATTGTCAGACGTTCCTCCAGCTTGGACCTACCTGCTAAGTAATGGTATCAGTGGCCACATCTGTGTGTGCTAAGTTTGGCTATAAAATGCTAGATGCCAAAAATAAAATACTAGATGCATGTGAGCACTCTATATTCAATGGTGAGAGGTCCCCAAAGAACACTGGTTGGGAGAGTGGTCAGGCTTCAGAGAAGAATCTTTGCTCAACATTCATAATATTCTAAAAGAAATATTTAAGCCCTGGACAGTTTGGCTCAGACATCGCCCCGTGGACCAGAGGGTCTCAGGTTCAGTTCCCGCTGAGGGCACATACCTTGGTTGTAGTTCGTCCTCGGCCCCTGATGGGGTCGTGTGGGTGGCAGCCGGTCGATGTGTCTCTCTCACATTGATGTTTCTCTCTCTCTCTCTCTTCCTCCCTCTCTCCCTCCTGTTCTATCTGAAGATAAATGCCAAAAAAAAAAGTCCTTGGGTGAGGATTTTTTTAAAAAAAATATTTAAGACACTTTGGGTCAATCAAAACACTGTGCTTGCCCTGGCTGGTTTGGCTCAACGGTTAGAGCGTCAGCCTGGGGTCCCAAGAGACCGGGGTTTGGTTCCCACTAGGGGCATGTGCCTCGGTTACAGTTTGTCCCCGGCCCTGGTTGGGTCATGCGGGTGGCAGCCGCTCAATGTGTCCCTTTCACATCAATGTTTCTCTCTCTTTCTCACTCTCTCTTCCTCTCTCTCCCTCCCACTCTATCTGAACAACAACAAAAAAAAAAATGGAAAAATGTCCTCGGGTGAGGATAAAAAAACAAAAAACACTGTGCTTTTTATTATAATTCACTCAAAGACAACCCTTCTGTTCAAGTTATTAAAATGTACTAGGAAATGGCAGTACACTATATATGCCTGGAGTCCAGTGGAAGTGCACTGGATCTTGAGAAGCAGGAGACGTCTTGAAGGCTGGGCTGATCAAGGCAGGCTTCACAAAGGGAATAAGACAGAAGCCTTGAAGCATGGGCAGAATTTCATCAGGCAGACAAAAAGAAGAGAATATTTGTTAGTAGGCTGGGCAGGTACTGGTGAGGAAAGGGCCTGAGGGAGATCAGCCATTGGCTGGTTTGGCTGGTTTGGCTGGAGCAGAAAGTTCATGTTGGGGAGTAGCAGGAATTAAAACTAACTTTGGACGAAAGCACAAAGAGCTCTGTGTGCCAGTGCTGTCGTTATCCTAAGGCCATTGGGAACTACTGAAGGATTCTAAAAATGACATAATCCAAAATCTCCTTTTGGAGGACTTTGAGTCTAGGAAGACTGGTCTTATGATAGAATTCAGGGTAGAACGAAAGAAGAGACCAGAACAAGCTCAAGACCATTTAGGCTCATGATATAACTAATATACCAGGGGTTTGGACCTCTCAATGGAAAGGAAGACAAAGATGTGATAGAAGTGACTAAGGGGAATTTGATAGGATTTGATGATTGAAAACAAGTGAGAAGGGATCAGGTGATCAAGAAGATAAACCTGTGAGGCAGTAAGAACGGCAGTGAGAATCTAGTTGCAGTTAGATTGCATGGATTTATAGTGGGCCAAGTCCACTATCCTCCTGTAGTACTTTGTGGCTGAGCCCAGAGAAAGCAGACAGTAGAATTGCCACACTGAATAATAGAGGTGAGGGAGTTACTAACATTTTTTTTTTTTTAATCCTCACCCGAGGACATTTTTTCCATTTTTTGTACAGACAGAGTGGGAGGGAGAGAGGAAAAGAGAGAGAGGGAAACATTGATGTGAAGGGACACATCGAGTGGCTGCCACCCGCACGACCAACCAGGGCCGGGGACAAACTGCAACCAAGGTACATGCCCTTAGTGGGAACCGAACCCGGGTCTCTCCGGACCGCAGGCGGACGCTCTAACCGCTGAGCCAAACTGGCCAGGGCGAGTTACTAACTATTAAAGGTTTCAATGAGGAGGCTCCTGTAGAGTCAGAGAATTGAGTTCCATAGCCAAAAGGGAGCTGCTGAGCCTGTTTCCTTACTGGAAAATGGGATAATACTTGTCAAATGAGATCATGTAGAAAAGCAGCTAGTGCAGTGCCCTGTTTATAATTGTTAGTTATTAGTATGCGACTTCAAATGTGAATTTCAAAGGCTGTCTCAGTTGGGTAATTTCAAAGCATCAACATTAACAAAATTTCTATTATGTGCCAGGCACCGTTCTAGATACTCTGGGTCAGTCATTGTCCATCACCTCAGGGGCCTTAGAGTATAGGAAAATCAAATGTATAAACAAACAAATAACAGAAGTGTGTACAGGTTTAGGGGTGGCAGAAAGGGGAAGGTAGAAGCCTGGTTCAGGAGAAGCAGCATCATTATAAGCAACACCATAATATTGAATGTTTATTGGGCATTTAC